TTAAAACAATTTCTTAGAAAAGGTTTTATTAGCCGGGTGTTGGTGGCACACACTCAGGAGGCAGAGGCAGGAAAGGTATTATTTTATGTGTATGGGTATTTGGTTTGCATGTCTGTCTGTGCACTATGTGCATGTCTGGTGCCCTTGGAGACCAGAAGAGTGTGTCAGATCCCCTGGAACTGAAATTATAGAGTGTGGTGATATTTTGTTATATATTGATTTTTCGAGACAGGGTTTCTCTGTGTAGCTTTGGAGCCCATTTGTTTATGTTCTTAACAAATAAATCTTGCCTGAAGATCAGTGCGTAAAGCCATAAAGCCAGCCACACTAGTTAGCCATAGAGGCCAGGCTATGGTGGCACACACCTTTAATCCCAGCACCCAGGAGACAGAGGCAGACAGATATCTGGTTCAAGGCCACCGTTGGCTACACAAAATTGGTGCAGTCTAAAAGAGAATCAGAGCTCACAGAAAGGTGATCTAAGCACTCGGAGTGCCACGCCTTTAATCCCAGCATTAAGGAGGTGATATGGCTGGGCTGGGTGGAGAGAGGACTATAAGGGGGAGGAGACAAGAGAGGGGCAGTCTGAGGAGCACTGGCTGGCCACTTTGTTTTTCTGATCTTCAGCTTTAACCCCAATATCTGATTCTGGGTTTTTATTATTAGTATAATTAGAATTCATGCTACAATAGATGGTTGTTAGCTGCCATATAGGTGCTGGGAATTGAACATCCTAGCTACAAAGTAAAAAGTGGACTAGAAGGGAAGAAACTGTAGTGTGACCATTTGTGGTAAAAATACAAAAACAAAAAAACTAGGGGTGAGGCTGGGGATGTAACTCAGTTACTAGAGGGCTTGCTAACATACAAAAAGTCCTGGGTTTGGCCAGGTGATGGTAGTGCATGCCTATAATCCCAACATTTGGGAGGTACAGGCAGGCAGATGTCTGTGAATTCAAGGCCAGCCTGGTCTACAGAGCAAGTTCCGGGACAGCCAGCTCTGTTATACAGAGAAACCCTGTCTCAAAAACCCAAAAGGAAAAAAAAAAAAAAATGAACCTCATCACCTTATAAAACCGGTGTCCCCTGAACGTGGGTGTCAGCTGGGGAGCCTCGGAAGTCTATGGGACCTCAGGCAGTGGAATCAGTACTTATCCCTAGTGCACAAATCGGCTTTTTTTGGGGGGGAGCCAGTTCCCTATGAAGGGAGCATCAGCCTAGATGCATGGGGGAGGGCCCAGGTCCTACCCCAAATGAAGTGACAGACTTTGATGATCCCCCCCAAGGGAGGCCTCAGATTCCCTGGGAAGTGGATGAGAGGGGGTGAGATGGGGGTTGGTGGGGAGAATGGGAGGACAGATGGGAGGGAGAGGGAACTGGGATTGGTATGTAAAATAAGATTGTTTTTAATTTAAATTAAAAAAAAAGTTGAAGGGGGAAAAAAACTGGGTGTCCTGGCACACACCTATAATACCACTACTTAGGTGGTAGAGGCTAAGAATTGACAAGGCAATATTGAAGATTCACTAGCCCACTCAAGCTGGTGGCTCTGGAGGGTGGTGGTGGCGCATGCCTTTAATGCCAGCATTCGGGAGGCAGAGGCAGGTGGATCTCTGTGAGTTTGAGGCCAGCCTGGTCTACAAGAGCTAGTTCCAGGACAGCCTCCAAAGCCACAGAGAAACCCTGTCTCAAAAAACAAAACAAAAAAACAAACAAACAAAAACAAACAAACAAAAAAACCAAACAAAAGACATCTACAAGGTTATTTGCTGCTGTTTTCCTGCCTTTATCAGAAAGCGGACACTTTAAGTTTTCTTCCCTGAATAATACAGGATCTCATTGTAAAAAATTCGTGTTTGAGTGTGGTTTGTGCCTAATCCAGGCTCTGCAAGGGAGCCCCCACTGTGCAGGAGTCTCCTTAAAATATAGCAATTTTTTTTTTTTTTTTGGTTATGAGCCTAGCCTTTAACAGCTGAGCCATCTCTCCAACCCAAGTACAGCAGTCATAAAGTGCCCAAATCAGCAGATAATAAAGATTACAAATATTTACTCCTAGAATAGATAATCTTTTTTTTTCTTTTTTTTAGAGACAAGGTTTCTCTATAGCTTTGGAGACTGTCCTGGAACTCACTCTGTGGACCAGGCTGGCCTTGAACTCACAGAGTTCTGTCTGTCTCTGCCTCCTGAATGCTGGCTGACATCAAAGGTGTACACTGCCACTGCCTGGCTAGAATGCAGGCAATACACACACACTTGGGGGGCAGAGGCAGGAGGATCTCTGTGAGTTCGAGGCCAGCATGGTCTACAGAGCGAGTGCCAGGATAGGCTCCAAAGCTACACAGAGAAACCTTGTCTCGAAAAACAAAAAACAAAAAAACAAAAAAATGTTTGTTGTGGTGCTGGTTTATAAGCCTCCGCAAGGGAGACAAAGGCTAGCCTACCCAGAAAATCGACTTCCAGATCAAAAAAACAAAAGCAGGATGGGAGGTGGCTCTAGCCATATGTCATGGCACCACCCACTTTCTTTTAGCCTCCTTGGGCACCAGGCACACATATGGTACACTTGTACAGATATAGGCAAAACACTCACACACATAAAACAAAAAAATTTTAATGGGGTTGGAGAAATGGCTCAGCAGTTAAGAGCATATGTTGCTCTTGAAGAGGACCTGGGTTCAGTTGCTAGCACCCACAGGGCAGTTTACAACCATTCTTAACTCCAGTTTCAGGGGATCCAGTGTCTTCTTCGGGCCTCTGTGGGTACCAAGCACACATGTAATGCACATACATGCATGCAGGCAAAACATATCATATGCATAAACAATGCATAAACTTTAATAAATAGTCTCTGGCCTGCTAGTAGACATACAGCTTATTTGTGGCATTAAGTTTTCAGGTAAGACCTAAAGAAAAGACAATCCTTTTCCAGTGGACGGGGTCACAAGGAGAGATAAGCAAGCCCAAAAATTATCATTGTGTATTTCCTTGCTCTCCAAATTACCTTGCAAACAGAACTATATGCAAAAGCATCAAAATGAAATGTACACAAGTATGGTAGTTTCTGTCCAGCCCACTACCCTTTGAAGTGTACTCTCAAACTGTTCTTTAAAACAGGTCTCTGTGTCTCTCTCTTCCTCCTCTCTCCCTTTTCTTCCCCCAATAAAGCTTCCTTACTACGTGGGAAAAAATAAAATATTTATGAGCCTGGCATGGTGGTGCACACCTTTATTCCCAGCACTCGGGAGGCAGAGGCAGGCAGAGCTCTGTGAGTTCGAGGCCATCCTGGTCTCCAGAGCTACAAAGCTACAAAGAGAAACACTGTCTCGAACCCCCCCCCCAAAAAACTCTCCAGAGCTACAAAGCTACAAAGAGAAACACTGTCTCGAACCCCCCCCAAAAAAACATATATACATATATGTGTGTGTGTGTGTGTGTGTGTGTGTGTGTGTATGCATGAGTCTCTGCACATGAATACAGGTACCCTCAGAAGCCAGTTGGATCCCCTGGAACTGGAATAATAGGTGGTTGTTACTGTTAAGTTTAAAAATCCAAGTTAGTGGAAAGGTTAATGAAAACTCACCAATGGTGATGCAATAAACCGATCAGACCGAATTAATAAATCCAGGTTTAATTTGAGAAAAGCATTCCTGAGTGGCCCCAGGGGAATAGAAAACCAGGAACCTCGAGGTGAATCCAGTGGTGGGGCCTCCGGGCGTGGAGCTGCCAATGGCGGGCTTTTAAGGGGCGGAGTCTGGACTAAGGTGCCACCAGAGGAGGGCCTGCTCTTAACACCCTGAGGGCAGGTTTAGAACCGGGCTACCAAACATTCTAACCTCTCTGTATAGATATAGAGGCCGAAAGGGCCTCTATAGCTTAAAACTTCCCAGACTCCTTGGGGATAGGGGCGTCTGGATTTATACCTTGAATCTGATATTGCTTATTTGTGTAACATTCAGCAAATTACGTTCCTCACCCATGACTTTACCTAACACCTTCCAACTGGAATAGTAGGACTATTAAATGAGGTCATGCTGAAGAACAACTAGTAAGAGAGAAGTAGATGTTGCAACGAAAACTTACGCACACAGATGTTTGCTATGACTAATGACGTGACGCTGCTGCACAGTATCAATAACCAGCCTGCCTGTCCCTGCCCTAGCTGTGCCCCAGACAATTGGTAAATTTTAAGATAACCCCCTCCGGAGAGCTCTTATATCTAAGACCACTCATGTATAAAATGAGGGTTGTCCATGTCCCTACCTCTGGGTATTGTGGACAACACAGGGTGCTTTAATACGGTAAGCCCATTTGGGTGGAGAGGTGGCAGACTCAGTAGTATCGCACCTGTCTACACATGCACATAGCCTCAGGTTTCATCTACAGCACTGTCAAGAACAAAAACATGCAACATGCTCCATAAATGACGCCTAATGTTGGACTTCTTCATTTCGGACCCAGATCACGGAGAAAACAGACGAGACAGCAAACCACGGCGGGTCAAGAGAATCTGTCTCCAGAGTGACGCTAAAAGGCTCCATGCAAGGGATCTCCAACCGAGCTCAGCCAGGGGCCCAGTACCTGAGTCGCCCCCTGCGCTGACAGCCTGGATATCAGGCCCCGTTTGCGCGCTGGGAGGCTGGCGGGGAACCGAGACGCCGCCGGTGGAGTGCTCATTAGGTTTGGAATCCATAGGGATGGATCAGGATCTACACGCGGCTTTAGCGTGACTGAGAGAAAGGAATAACGGAAAGGTATGGGGACCGGTGACCAGTCAGGCCGCAGACGCCGCGACACCAAGCCTCCAGCGATGACGTGTCATCTGCAGTGGGTTGGAACCGCCTAGCCGCGGCGCCGAGGGCGTGACGTCACACTCCCCGACAGCGCCTGCGCCTCTCCTCTTTCCGGCCACAGGTTCGAGGCGGAGCGCTCTTCACGCGCCTTTGCGGGAATCCGGAACCCAGAATTCCCCCGGCTCGCACGTCGTTTACGTGGGCGCCTGCGTGCTTCCTAGTACCGCCTCCAAATCCCATGGGCCTCTGCGAAATAGTATTTAAGGGACGTCCGTTGCTCGTTTCGGTCTCATTTTTCCCTGGCTTCGGTAAGTGTTGCTTCTTTAGTAGTTAGTTTTTTTTCTTACCCAACCTGGGTTGCGCTGTGTCCACGGCTGGCTTCGATCTTATTTAGATCTGCCTGCCTTTTGTTATCAAGAGCGTGAGCCACGGGGCCTGGCTTATCTTTAAGAAGCAATTATTTCTGGTGGCTCTTTCAAAAGAGTCCGCGTGAACATAGCGTTTCCCAGGCGTGGTTCTGTAGCTCCGGTAACTGGGGCGCAGGCAGAGTAATTACACTGGGGGTCCTCCAGACCTCGAAACAATGTTGTGAAGGACAAAATGGTGGCGGCGGTGCAAGGCCATCTCCTGTGATGAGTACCTTTTCACAGACCTGTACTGATTTCCATGAGGAAAAGTACCTCTGAGGAAGACGGCCCTGAATCTAAAGTCTCCCGCGCCCGCCCAGCTTTGTCTTAAAAAGACATAAGTAACCAAATGTTAACTATTCCGTTGCAGAATTGGGGCACGTGACTGCTTACGGAAGGATGGGAGTGTGCTTTCCTTGCAGTAAGTCTTCTAGTGTTTTGGTTTTGCTCGCTGGAGATTGTACATGTGCTGCAGGGATGATTTAGAACCTGAACTCTCTCTTTCTGATGGTGTAGTGGAGAAAACAGGAAAATTTCTCTGAGTAGCACAGTCTGCAACAGATGTATGGGTTTGGTTTGAGGTAAAACTGTACTGAAGTATTTTCTTTTTTTCTCTTACTCAGATATGGTTAATATCAAAGGACTTTACAGATTGGAGCCAGGCTAGATCAATATTGCACATTTTGCTGGTAGTTCAGGTGGGTAAACGTGGCTTATGCACGCTGAGAGAAGGGATCAAATTTAGATGACCACTTGATGATGAGCGTAAATGACAAGCATATGACTGAATTGTAGTGATGTCATCTTGCTACTGAAAAGTGGGCTAGGTGGATGGATGGATGGGGTACGGGGTGGTTATAATCCGCGTTAAGTAATTGCCTCTTTCTGTGTGTCCAGCATCCTGTAACATTCTGAAGAATTCGAACTATATTCCAGGATGAATTGAGCCCAGGTAATTGTCCAAATGAGGCTATGACTTTATCACCTCTGGAGGGTAGAAAAATGAGAAATTGAAGCGGCATATTGCTGCTCATAATACTCTTCTGTTTAAAAGCTTTGTCACTGTCAGATGATTTGAATCCGTGCACTGATGCTCTGTGAAGGTGTGAAATAATAGCATGTTAGAGTTCTGATGACAGTCAGTGGCCATAAGGGAGTTTTGGTCCATCCTGCTGGTTGAAAATTAACTGCTTGTTACTCTTTCCCAGGTTGTCCTGATGACTTGTCCAAAGGTGAGGCCATTTTTCATGTTAATGCAGGCTGAAGTTGTTTAGATAGCTAGTGGACTTTCCAAAGCAAGCCCTCCTTTATTTTCCGATTTTTTCATATTCCATTTGCCTCCTTATTCTAGATTCTAAATACAGATAATCCAAATGAAACAATGTGCTGAATATGCTGTATTTTGCCAGTGGGGAAACTGGAGAATTGGTTCCATAGGGACCAAAGGACAATAAATATAATATTTAGCATGCTCCTACCTGACTATTAATAGTAAGATAGCTGGATATGGTGCTGCATGCCTTGATCAAAGCCTGGGAGACAGGTGGGTCTCTTTATGTTCCAGGGTTACACAAACCCTGCCTCAGAAAGACTGAGATAAGACTTAACTCTTTCTGAATTTTTAACTAATTGACTTTCTTGATTCAGGAGGAGTTCATTGCTGTATGCCACCAATTTCCAGCATTCAGAGGTTAGTTGATTTGTTGGTTTGGATAGGGCTTGTCCAGGTAGGCAGTTTCTATGATGAATCGAACTAGCTCACTATGACTGACAATGAAAACATATGAACACCTGAGAAACTGAATAGTGGAGGGTGTGTTGGTGTCTGTATGTAACCTTTTGCTTCAAAAGTTTGCTGTTTTTTTCCCCCAGGTTCTGTTAACAGTGAAATACTTGTTGGTTGGTTCAGAGGTAAGTCTTGTCAGTGTGTGCTCATGCATGTAGCATTGGGTTTCAAAGTTCCTAAAGGCTACCCTATATATGATGACTTTCATAGAATCTCGTTCGGCTGATGATTGCTGTTGAGACTTGGAAATCTGAATTATCTCAGAATGGGTTAGATGAGAATAGTTGGAAGAGAATAGTAGGACTTAAAGCATTGACTATCCTTTTTCAGATCTGGTGTCTGGCCTAGAGAGCACCAAGAATGCCAAGAAACCCTGCCAGGTAAATGGTCTTGCAGTAGTTTGATGTATAAATTTGGTGTCACTGTAATGCTTTGATCTGGTGGAATGCCTGCTCACCAATGATGATTTGAATACCGCCCCAGTCTGAAAGCTGTGAAGAAGGGTATTTTCTGAGTTATGAGCTCACCCTGGATCAGTTGTGAAAGGATTTCGGGTAGCATGAACTTTAATTCTAAATGGCCCTACTTTCTGGTCTATCTTGCAGGGAAATTAAGCATGTCTTCACTCAAGGCCGAGCTGAAATAAGGTAAGGAAACTGAGATGTAAAGGGTACTAAATTATATATAATTTCCCCATGAAGAAACAATCACATGTCTTACTTCCTGTCCCAGCCCCAGAGCCTGAAAAGGTGAACCCACTGGGGCTGGCTGGGGGAGAAGAGGAAAATTTGTTCCAGAAGGAACTGTCTGAGGGATCTTAATTTCTTTTGTGCAGGAAGGGAAGAATTGTCAACTTGATTAAAATGAAGTGGCTTTTCTATTTTTTCAGGTCTGAGGAAAGAGTGAACTGCAAGTGGAAGGTAGGTAACCCCTTGATTTCATGTGCAGGCTGGAGGGGACTGGTCAGGTATATCAGGTTCTTAGGATGTATTTGTCGTCACTTATTAAACACTGGAAGGTACCAGATGCAGGAGCTGCCATGTGTGTGCTGAGAAATTGGGCACACAAAAAACATTGGGAAGAACAGAGGCAGGATCTATCCTAAAACTACCTCAGCTGTCCCAACCTTGAATTGAGGTTATTATGCTGTGCCCAGCTGATAAAGTGATAAAGTACTTGGAAAAAAGGCCATTAATTAGTACTTTACTACCTAACATCTTAAAATTGAGCATACTGTGTAAGTTTGCTTATTGTACCTTCTTATTTTACAGGAATCAAAGTCTTCAAGGACAAAGATTTTGACTATTTGTAATGTGTCATCTTCATTTTATTAATAAAATTGGTCTTTACCATATGTTGTTTGTCTCTTTGGCAGGGTAAACGATTTGATTTGGGTTGGTCCTACAAACAGGTTCTAAAGTCTTGGTTAATATTTGACTTTTGGAGGGAGCTAGTTTGAGACAGGCTTGTTTGTTTCATTTAGACCCACAGATCTTACCAAATGAGCCACCACATGCCTGGTAGCATATGGCTTCCTTGAAAAACCCTTTATGCCCTTATTCCATCTAGGATTTGTGTAGCACTGGCTTTCCTATAACTAGCTCTGTACATCAGGGCTACTTAGACCAGGCTGGCTTCAGATTCACCTGCCTCTGTCTCCTGAGTGCTGGGATTAAAGACATGTGCCACCACCGCCCGGCAACCTTTATTCTAAATATCTGCCTTCTTACTCTGGCCAGCTGAGTGGCTGGCCCCTGGCATCATCCTCTCTGTCTCTTGGTTTTCTCTAGGTTTCATCTATATTCTCTCTGCCTCTTAGCCCCACCCATTTCTCTCTCCTGCCTTGCTATTGGCTCTTTAGCTCTTTATTACCAATCAGGTAATAAAGACAGGTTAAGCAAATGCAACATAAAAGAACGTAACACATCTTTGCATCCTCACCATAAATGAAGGTAACACATTATAAACTAATATTTTACAACATGTAGAGATGTCATAGATGTTAAGAGCACATGTTACTCTTCCACAGGAAGTTTTGTGCAAGGCTTGGATCCTGGAAATCTGATTAGGTGTGGCAAGGGAATGAAGGGAAAGCAAACCAGACATATAGGTCAGGTGGGGGTGTACTTTCTCTTATGGAATGGATCACACTACCTCCTAACTTAACCTCAGGCTGTTTATTAAAACCTCAGGATGTTAGGCACAGTACAGTGGGAGGGATTAGCTAATCCCTATAAGAGGTTTTTGTAGGTAAGTCTCAGTCTCAGGCTGTTAACACTCTGGAGGAGGAAGCTGCAGTTGCTAGGTTTTTGTGAACACTAATCAATAAACATACTTGAGTCAGAATGCAACTTTGCCTTCTAGGCTAGTTTATATGGGACCAGCTTTGTCACTTTCTCCTGTGTGTAAGCTATTGACTTTTGTGCACGTCAACAGTACACATTCACCCAGGGCTTGACGAACTCAGGGATTCCTATTCTCCCCACAATGCAGTGCTGAGGGCAAGGCAATTGCTCTATCAAGCTGACAGCTTTTAAAGATTTATTATGTGTACAGTGTTCCGCTTGCATGTATCCCTGCAATCCAGAAGAGGGCACCAGACTACATTATAGATGGTTGTAAGCCATCATGTGGTTGCTGGGAATTGAAATCAGGACCTCTGGAAGAACGGGCAGTGCTCTTAACCCCCTCCAACCCCAACCAGTCCAGCTTTAAAAATTATATTTATTATTAGTAAGCATGTGTGTACATGACATATGAGGAACACAAGAACACTTGAATGTTACCGACAGAGCACGTTTAGAATCCAGAAAACAATTTTGTGGACTTGGTTCTCCTACCTTTGTGCAGGTTCTGTGGTTTGAATTTAGGTCACCAAGCTTTCCCTTAGGGAACTTTTACCTGCTGAACCATCTCACTGTCACCCAACTTTTGTTTCTTTCAAAATTTATTTATTTACTTATATATACAGTGTTTTGCCTGCCTGCATGCCAGAAGAAGGCACCAGATCTCACTATAGATAGTTGTGAGCCACCACGTGGTTGCTGGGAATTGAACTCAGGACCTCTGGGGGAGCAGCCAGTGCTCTTTTTTTGTTTTGTTTGAGACAGGGTTTCTCTGTGGCTTTGGAGGCTATCCTGGAACTCACTCTGTAGACCAGACTGACCTTGAACTCACAGAGATTCGCCTGCCTCTGCTTCTTGAGTGCTGGGACTAAAGACATGAACTACCACCACCTGACTCCAGCCATTTTGTTTTAAAACTAAAATTATCAGAAATTCTGATGTTTGTATTATATCAGTGAGGACACAGCTCCTGAGTCTTGCCTAGAGAACCTTTAGCTTTGAGGCAGTGGTGTTGCACACCTTTAGTCCCAACACTCAGGAGACAGAGGCAAGTGGATCTCTGTGAGTTCAAGGCCAGCCTGGTCTACAGCACTAGTTCTAGAACAGCCAGGGCTACACAAAGAAACCCTGTCTCAAAATAAATAAATAAGGAAAAAAGAAACAAAATAAAAACAAAAAAGAAAGTAAAAACAAAAAGAAACTGTCTCAAAAACAAAACAAAAACTTTAGCCTCAAAACTGGCTTTGACACAATGACAAGACTTTATGTCTAACCCAGGTTAAGGGTTAGAACTAGGTTTCCAATTTAGTTATATTAACATAGTTTCTGAGGAAATAGGGACTAAAGATCTTTCTTAGCCAGGATTTGATAGCACTTGCATACAGGCAGGCTTCGAGTTGTTGGGAAAAAATCGCTTCAATTTGGGTTTCAGAGTGTGGCAGGGACTTGTCTATTTTGAGAGTACTTTACTTGTAAAGAATGCTGAACCATGAGAACACAGGGGAGGGAGAGGCAGTGAAGTAGGACCTCGAGACCCAGCATAGTTTACAGAATGAGCCCTTTGTTATATCAAACTAATAACAAAGTTGGGGATCCAGGCAGAAGGAAGCAGAGGGAGGGAATGAATGATAAAGGCAATCTTCCAGGAGGCTCTGACTGAACACAGATGCCACACTTCAATGTTTCCAATGCTTAAATCTCCTGTACTGTTAATCCATTTTTTTTTCCAAGGCAGGGTTTCTCTGTGTAGCCCTGGTGTCCTAGAACTATCTCTGTAGACCAGCCTGGCCTAGACCTCAGAGATCCACCTGCCTCTGCCTCCAGAGTGCAGGGATTAAAGGCGTGTGCCACCACCAACTGGCACAGTTAATTTTTGTGTTTGGAATTTCCCCTCAAACAGGGTGGGGGCTGCCAGACTTGGCCAATGAGAGCAGACTCCACCCAGCCAGCATTGCAGTTTAGAAAGGGTGGCTTTTCTCAGAGAGCACAAAATGATCCTTCCTTCTCAGTTCTCCATAAACACTCCTGGACTGTTCCTTTGTTTCCATAAAACTAAAACAAGGTGGGGCTGGCAGAGTTTAGTGGTTCCTACATTTCAGCTTCCAGAAATGGCGCTGTCCAAGCTGAGCATGTTTGAAACTAGCCTGTAATTCTCAGCCACTGTGAGGCTGAGTCAAGACTATAAAATCAAGGCCCACCTAGATAACAAAGTGGGTTCATGGGTTAAAAAAAATAAGAAGCGGACCTGAGCTGTATCTAAAGAGATTGTGAAATCTTAGGGTTAATAACACCAGTGCTCCTCCGCATTTTAATTTTTTTGTTGTTGTTTGTTTTTGAGACAGGGTCTCACTGTGTAACCCTAGCTGGCCTGGAACCCACAGAGATACACCTGCCTTTTGCCTCCGGAGTGCTGAGAGGAAAGATGAAAGGCCTTATTAAGGAGTGGGAGGAATGGGGGTATAGGAAGATAGGAAGGCGTGAAACGAGAGAGCGGGAGAGACAGACAGACTGACTCAGAGAGACAGACACACACCACACAGAGAGACAGACAGACTGACTCAGAGAGACAGACACACACCAGACAGACAGACAGACAGACAGACAGACAGACAGACAGACAGACCTGCTCCGTGCTGTCAAAATTGAATACGGCGCCCCCTGATGATGCAGTTGGTGGCGCGCCGGAAGTACGAGCCATAGGCTAGTCTGCGATGGCGGCCGCCTCTTCGCGAGGGAACCATGTGTGGGTCGGCACCGATACTGGGATCCTAAAAGGTGAGTGAGTTGTTCTCCGAAAGTGTAGGGACTGCGTGTCACCCCAGCGTGACTGACGTCCTCCTCCATTAGGGGTGAACCTTCAGCGGAGACATGCAACAAACTTCACGCCATCCGGACAGCCGCGGCGGGAGGAGGCGGTGAATGCTCTGTGCTGGCGCGCGGGTGACGAGACCCAGGTGAGTGGCCCCCGGCCCGAGCTAGGAAACGGGCCCTGCAGCCTTGCTCTTCTCCTATCCTTTCCTTCTCGCTGGCAGATCTTGGTGGGCTGCGCGGACATGACCGTGAGGCACTTTAACACCGAGGAGGGTACATTCCAGAGCCAGAGACACTGCCCAGGCGGGGAGGGCACGTTCCGAGGTCTCGCCCAGGCCGATGGGTAAGGACTATTCTAGCTCAGGTCACAGGAAGATCGTTGAGGCTCCCTTGGGCGAACTGAATACTGAAGTTAAGCCCTTAGATGATTAGCCTCTGGGAAGACTGATTGCAAACAGTGTTCTTGCTTTCCTTCATTCCTATAACATGCATTTATCTGGAAGTTTCTGAATGCCAGGTATCAAGGAAGAGTACAAGGATTTGGGTAAAATATGGGTCTTCATAGAGTTTGCTTCCAAGAGTTTTGTTGTTTTTTTTGGGGGAGGTGTGGGTCGGTTTTCGAGACACGGTTTCTCTGTGGCTTTGGAGGCTGTCCTGGAACTAGCTCTTGTAGACCAGGCTGGTCTCGAACTCACAGAGATCCACCTGCCTCTGCCTCCCGAGTGCTGGGATTAAAGGCATGTACCACCACCGCTCGGCGCTGGCTCCTTTATAACGTTCTGTGCAAGTAATTCCACACTTTTGAGCATGCTTTTAAGTAGTGGTTGACAAAAGTGTAGCTTCTAAAGTGATGGCTCAGAAGGAAGATTCACCTAGATTAGTAACCTAGGAGCAGCTTCTCTAGATGGAAGACGAGAGAAGGCTGCTTTGGTAATTCAACAAGTGAACCCAGAAAGGATATGCAGCAGATGGAGTTGTTTTTTTTTTTTTTTCCCCAGGACAGGGTTTCTCTGTGTAGCTTTTGGAGCCTATCCTGGCACTCGCTCTGTAGACCAGGCTGGCCTTGAACTCACAGAGATCCGCCGGCCTCTGCCTCCCAAGTGCTGGGATTAAAGGTGTGCGCCACCAATGCCCGGCTGAGGATGGAGTTTTGAACTGGGTCTTGAAGTACAGGAATAATCTTGATAGAGAAGAGATAAAGATATTCTAAAAAGCAGATACTAACTGAGCAGAGACTAAGGGTTAAAAGACTAAAAAGGCTTTGTACATAGGACAAATAGCGTTTGGAAGTTGAAGTCAAGGAAACATACATGTAAGTTTGATTTGCATTTGGTTAGGATTAAATGGAAAGGGCTTTTGTACCAAGTTGAGATTTTATTTCATAGTTAATGGAGAGTATATTGGGTTTTGAAAGGGAAGTGCCATGGACTGAGCGAACTCTGAGCCTGTAGGAGTAAGGAGTATTAAAAATGCTTTTTGGCACAGCACAGGCAATATAGAGCTTAAATCTAGATAGGCAGATGTGAGGGAGAACATAGGTTCAGGCTATCCAGAGCCTGGGAAAAGGTTTAGGTTTCTTGGCAAGAGGTTTATGTCATTTTGGTTTGGGTTTGTTTTTTCTGTTTGTTTGTTTCAAGGTAGCCTTGAACTCAATATGTAGCTCAGTCTGACTTTGAATTCCTGGTCCCCACTTTACTTCCATGCCCTTTACTGGTAGGTATGGACCACTAAACCTGGTTTACACATTTTAAAATCCCTCCTGTGATTGCAGAACCCTTATCACATGTGTGGATTCTGGGATTCTTAGAGTCTGGTGTGACAATGACAAGGAAGCATCATCTGACCCAGTAAGGTTCACTGCCCTAGTGGTTGGAGATGGTGGGAGCCAGGGTAGGGGTCTAATGGGGAATTTGGTAGGTGGAAGGTTAAGGACTCTTGGACTGACTCATCTCTGATTATTTACAGCTCTTGGAACTGAAGGTGGGTCCTGGGGTGTGTAGGATGCGCCAAGACCCAGCACATAGCCATGTGGTTGCCACATGTGGGAAAGAGAATGCTTTGAAAGTATGGGACCTACAGAAGCCTGAGCAGCCTGTGTTCAGGGCAAAGAATGTAAGTGATAAGGGGTAGGGGGATGCTTTGTCTGAGGTTGGGAGAAGTGGAGGCCACTGACTGGTTGTGGCCTAGATGGGCTTTCGGGATGTGGAGGACTGAAGGAGCAGGTCAAGCTTACCAACATCTTGTATCCCATATGTACCTCCACACCAGGTGAGGAATGATTGGCTGGATCTACGGGTTCCTATTTGGGACCAGGATATACAGTTCCTCCCTGGGTCACAGAAGCTTGTCACATGCACAGGGTACCACCAGGTGAGGCTCTTTTGCTAACTTACTCCTGGATTGAAACAGCTTCCTAGGGAAAACTGTGTCACCTGGCAGAATGGGTTGGTTCTCTGGTGTTTCAACATCATCTCCCCTGGGCTCTCAAAGGAGCTCATACTTCCTCAGCTGGTCAGGACCATGGCTGTGCCAATGACATTCCCTTTACTGCATTCTAGGATAGAATTTCCTGGACTATGATTTTCTATTTCTCCTACCTAGAAGGTAAAACAAAGGGAGCATTCCTTTCATACTAGGTTCCACAGGGAACAGGTATCATGGATGGACAACAGGTTTGCTGTCAAAACAATTTTATAGTCCTCTCATCTAGTACTAACCAGGCTCATGAGATCTGAAGATTGGGTATATTCTGGATGGCATGTCCATAGAAAGAATTTTGTAGTCCTCTTGTAGTCTAATTTGCTTTGAGGATCCCTTTCTGGGTGAGGGCTTGGCTAGAGATCTTTGTGGCTTATTTCATTTGAAGTTCTGAGACTCGGGCAGGGTTGAATCACTATTTGCCATTTGTATAGTCCTTCATATTAAAGTCTGATTTAAGTACTAGGCCTTTGCTACAACACATGAAGAGCTCCCCACTGATGGGAGCTGTTATTCTGTATATGTTTCTTTTATTGGTTGATGAATAAAACACTGTGGCTAGTGGCCAGGCAGGAAGGATAGGCAGGGATACCAGATGAAGAGAATTCTGGGAGGTGTAGGCAGAGAGGAATCATCCTGTGAGCCCAGGAAGAGAGGACAAAAGTCAGGCATTCTCTGGTAAGACCATGTAGAAATACATAGATTAGTAGTTATAGGTTAATAATTAAGACAGAGCTACCCAATAAGAAGCCCAAACCATTGGCCAACAGTTTCATAATTAATACAGTGTGTGTTCATTTGGGGCAAAGTGGGTGGAAAAGAGTGCTTGTAATAGCCCACTCCTCCCCTGGGGTAAGGCTAAGCTTTCCTGCTTGAAATTCACCACCCTCTAGCTTTGGTCCAATCTGCTTTTCTATTCCTCCACTACCTTTAGATGGACATATGAGGGACAAAATGTTTACCATACTCTCAAGGATAGACATCTGCCCTCAGTCTGTAATCATGCTTTTAAGCAGTCCTTCCCCCAGCATTCTGAGATGAGGTACATACTGCAAATGAGAAAAGTTTCTCTGAGGGGGGCTTATAAATAGTAAGCAGTCTTGCCAAGCATCCCTTTAATCCCAGCACTTAGGAGGCAGATGAAGGTGGATCTCTGTGAGTTCCAGGCTAGCCTGGTCTACAGAGCAAGTTCCAGGACAGCCAGACCTTTGCAAAGAAACCCTATCTTGAAAGAAAAAAAATTAAATAAATAATAAGCAGTCTTCAGAAGGATGATGATAGATATGGAGATACTGGAGACCAGTGTGGGTAAAGATATTCTCATGAGCCAGGCAGTGGTGGCACACGCCTTCTATCCCAGCACTTGGGAGGAAGAGGCAGGCAGATCTCAGTGAGTTCAAGGCCAGTCTGTTCTACAAAGCAAGTTCCAGGACTCCAGGAGATAGCCAGAGCTTCATACAGAAACCCTGTCTCAAAAACAAAAACAAAAAAACAAAAAGAAAAGAAAAGAAAAAAGAAACTCTTGTGATACCTCAATCTTACTCTAGGTCCGTGTCTATGATCCAGTCTCTCCCCAGCGACGGCCAGTCCTAGAGGCCACCTATGGAGAGTACCCATTGACAGCCATGACCCTTACTCCTGAGGGCAAGTGAGTGTTGAGGGGAGGGGGAATTGCTCTGGAATGACTCCAGAAGTTGTACTGAGCCCCTTCTCTGGTCTCTTCCATAGTTCTGTCATTGTGGGAAACACTCATGGGCAACTAGCAGAAATTGATTTTCGGCAAGGTGAGTGGACAATGGGTTACTTGAGAAGGGGAAGGGAGAGAGAGAAAGGTAGTATAGGGAGTCACTGAGTCCTGGCAGTGCCACATTCATGCCCTGGGTTAAAGTTTGGTCTCAACAAAAAACTGAGACCTTGGACTAGTTACTTGGACCCTGTGCCTTTGCTTTCTCATCTATAAAACTGGAATATCTCTGGTAACTCCTGTTTCTAGGGGGATTAGGTATGGAAACATAAGTGGTTTGAACGGTAACTAAGTAAATGTTCACTGGCTAGGTAGCTAACACTGTTCCCTCCACCCTTCTCTAGGACGTCTACTGGGCTGTCTGAAGGGGCTGGCAGGCAGTGTCCGTGGCCTGCAGTGCCACCCTTCCAAGCCCCTATTAGCCTCTTGTGGCTTGGACAGAGTCTTGAGGATACACAGGATCCGAAGTCCACGTGGGCTAGAGCATAAGGTGAGAGCCCAACCCTCTGGCCATTCCCCCACTCTAACATCTTTTTCTGGAGACTTTCCCCCCTCCCTGTGCCCCACATTCAAGTTTCTGTCTCTGCTCATCTGGGCTCAAGACCCCTTTTATTTTACAGGTTTATCTCAAATCTCAACTGAACTGCCTCCTCCTGTCAGGCAGGGATAACTGGGAGGTGAGCAACTAGTTAGGTGTAGGGATTTGGGAGCCAGAGGCATGATGGGGAGGGATTCTCTGTGGAGAGAATGGGAGGCAGCTAGAACATAGACCAGGGCTGTCTCTCTACTGTAACCTAATTTCCCTGAGGGATGCTCTACCCTGTATAGCCTTATTGCTGAGGGTGAGGGACTCCAGAACACAACTGCACTGGTTTCTAGGTCAAAGTAGTGGTGTCCAGAGAAATTATTTTTCTGCCAATCTCTTTCCTTGTCCCTGATTCCTGAGTTTCTTTCTCACTCATCAGGATGAGCCCCAAGAACCTCAAGAGCCCAACATGGTGCCCCCAGAAGACACAGAGACAGATGAACTTTGGGCATCTTTGGAGGCAAATGCCAAGCGGAAGCTCCCTGATTTAAATCAGATACAAGGGACTCTCCAAACAAGAAAAAAAAAGAAGCGGCCTGGATCCTCCAGTCCTTGAAGACTTTTGCTATTTTGTTAATAAACAGCCCAACACACACAGAGACCCTGAACCTTTTGTGATGGGAGAAAGGAGAGGTGGCTTGTGGGTGGGAGGGGTTCCCTCACCCGGGCTGTGGGAGACCTGACGTCACAAAAGCTGGGTCCAGAGCTAAGCAGGCTGGGGAGGGTGGCAGAGTCCTGCGCCTCTCGGGGCCATGGGCTGCTGTCAAGACAAGGACCATCAGACCTCTGATGAGCATGCAAGGGAGGAAGTGACCGACGAAGGTAGGCAAGGTAGGCCCAGATTCAAAAAAGGGTCAGGGAGCTGGATTGGGAATGGGAGTGGGAGGTGCCCAGAATGGACGGCCTAAAGAGACTGGACTAGAGAGGAGAACTGAACTAAGTGGCCTCGTGGCCCTTGCAGACAACGAAGTCAATTTGGACAACGCAGGCCGCCGCAAACAAAGATCTAACGAAAGTCTTCTGATCACCGTGCTGTGGCGCAGGCTATCCATGTTCAGCCGTCGGGGGTCCTCACGGTCAAGCAAGAGGCTCTCAGACCTGACTCAAAAGCAGGAGAGTCAGATCCAGGAGCGCAAACGTGAGGGAAGCCACAAGGAACCAGAAAAGGGCTGACTCCAATCCTGCTCTCGTCCTCCCCAACATCCAGAGAATAAAATTAATATTGTGGATCTGCCGAAAACATGCCTCTGCCTCCACATCTGTAGGCGCCGAGGCGCTGGCTCTTTAAGACTCCTCTGGCCCAGCCCTCTGGGATCTGTTTCTGCTCTTCAGGGGCGGGGCCACAGCGGCAGTTTAACCAATAGGAGAGCGGAGTCGAGCATGCAAGGGCAGAGGTGTGTTCTTCCTGTCTCTGGGCTTAAAAAAATAGGCGTGGCGCGGCATCACGTCACGGGGGTGGGGTTACGTGTGGGTGACGTGGCGGCTCCTGCTCTTTGCTCCGATTTGGGTGGCTTACAAGTCCAGCGAGGAGGCGGCGACGGCCTGGAGAGAGTGGCAGTGGCGGCGGCGGTAGGCAACAGAGGAGGTAGGGCTTCGTTGGGGTAGGGGGCCAGTTTCTGTCGGTCGTCTCAGCTCGGGGGCAGCGGCTGGGGTGGACGGTGGGGGAGGGGGGAGAAGGGAGCCATGGGCAAGCCCTGCTGGCGGCTCCGCGTAAGCGAATACCTTGCTGTCCAATCAGGAAAGGCCTTGTTGAGAAAGACGCCGGCCCTGTCCAATCAGTGGCTGCAGTCTTCCAACAGGCGGAACTTTGATGGAGGTGGGACTTCCTGTTTCAAATAAACACTTAAAGAGGTTTTCCCCCCCTCCGCCCACCGAAGTGTGTCCACCTTTGGAGGTCGGTTGCCGTTTTTCCGTGAGGGAGTTAAGGAAGTCACGTATACCAGAGGGCACGATTAAGATCTGGGCCAACTGCAAAGGTCTGGCTGGAGGCTCAGGGCCGCAGGACCAGGCTTTGGCTGTTTTCTCGACTTTAGGGCCCCAGCCGGTGCTTTGGCCGTCAGAGCCAAGTTGGAAGGAGATTCTGAGGAGGCTTCGCCTTGGGCCTGGAGGAAGCTGACCCTTCTCGCCGTGGCCGGGCTGCAAGATCTACGGGTGGCCTTGGGCTCGAAAGCCTGTCAAATACGGGAAAGGGCCTGAGGATTTGCTAGTTGAGGGGAAAGCTTTGGGGAACGAGGCTGTCTGGAGAATGACATTCTCCTCTCCACAGCAGTCCGAGGTTATGCGACTCGATGATCCCGCGGAAACGCTACGGATCTAAGAACACAGATCAGGGTGTCTACCTGGGTCTCTCAAAGACACAGGTTCTGTCCCCTGCAACTGCTGTCAGTAGCAGCAGCGACATCACTCCTTTGCCCACCCCGGTGGCCCTGGTCCCTTCCCCTCCCGACACCATGTCCTGCCGGGATCGGACCCAGGAGTTCCTGTCTGCCTGTAAGTCGCTGCAGAGCCGTCAGGTAAGGACCTGGAGTGGAAAGGCAGGTGTGAGCCTAATTAATGCTTACGTTTTGTCTGCTAGTTGTCTAAATTTACTTTACAACAAAGATTAGCGAATCTTACCAATAGGAGTGGAGGAATTGTCTTCAGCAGGGATTAAGAAAAGATTAAATACCACGAACGATGAGTCAAGATTTAAACCTACATATAATTTTTTTTTCTTAGCTATAAACCACTGATAAATTTAGATTGTCTGATGCCAACAGCACTGGAGTGTTTAGTGGATATGTGAGGGAGCAGTGAAAAGCTGAGCATGAATAGTGAAGAGAACTAAAGTATCCACTTTTTGACATTACCTTTCAGAATGGAATCCAAACAAATAAACCAGCTCTACGGGCTGCCAGACAACGCAGTGAATTTACCCTTATGGCCAAGTGAGTTAAGAGAGTCTTTGGGGGGGGGTGGTAATACAATGTCTAGGAAGTTAATTTGCCTGTGTTGGTTAGGCTGAATGGGATTGGTTGTGTTGGAGCTTATGGGAATTAGCCTCTTTCCTGCCCTTTACCACAGCCTTCTCACTGATGATCATTTGCAGGCGCATTGGAAAAGATCTCAGCAATACATTTGCCAAGCTGGAGAAGCTAACAATCTGTGAGTGTTTGGTAGATCTTTCCTAGATGGGACAGTGAAACATAGTACTAGGAAGTGAGGATCGTGCAGTTTTTGTTTTATTTTCTCCTATGGTGCTGGGGATTTTAAACTAGGACTTTGTGCATTAAAGCAAGTGCCTCTACCACTGAACTGTATTCTTAGCCCTTTGAGCCTTGTTATTACCATCACCTGTTGTAACACTTCATCTGTCTCTGCAGTGGCAAAGCGCAAGTCCCTCTTTGATGATAAAGCAGTAGAAATTGAGGAGCTAACATACATCATCAAACAGGTGAGCTGCTAGCCATCAGGAGAGCCCAGCATTCTAATTAGATTACTTCCATCATTTTCCATCGCCATGAATCCCCAGGGTAAGTATCTAGACCCATGTCCAAACACCCTGCTCCTCCACTGAGTCCATAGACACTTAGGATCATCTAGCATTTGTAAAGTACTGTTCTGTATGCTGATGGAACAAATGAGAAGCAAGATTATTGTCTTTAAGGGTTCATTCTTCTTAAGAGTTACCCAGCATCAGGAGCCTAGGCTTAAAATGAGTAAGTGATAGTATAGAAAAGATTTTACAAAAAGATGAATGAAATAGTATGCTGGGAAAGATTGACAGAGGATATGAAATCTGAACTGGATTCGGAGGTTATATAGAGGAAATAGAAGGACTTACCAGTCTGAGGAGTTTATTTACAGAGGTGTTGATTAGAAAAGGGGGAAGGTCAGCTGAGAGTAGTGATGAACACCTTTAATCCCAGCACTCTGGAGGCAAAGGCAGGCAGATCTCTGAGTTCTAGGCCAGCCTGGTCCACAGAGTGAGCTCCAGGACAGCCAGAGTTGTAAGTTTATTCTCTATAATTACCTTACGTTTGTTTGATTTCATTCCCTGTATCCTTTCTACTTTTCTAAAAGAGAAGGAAAAAACAAAGGGGCAGGGCAAAAGATTTGCAGATACCTCAGGAGCAGGTTCTTTGTTTTGGTTTCAAGACTCTAGATATATAGCCCAGTCTGGTATTTTTGTTTAAGTCAGGGTTTCTCTGTATATCCCTGGCTGTTCTGGAACTTGCTGTATAGACTAGGTTAGTCTTGAACTTAGAGATCCGCCTGTCTCTTGTCTTCTGAGTACTGCAATTAAAGGCATATGCTACCATTCCTGGCTACATGGTGGTGGTTAATTTGTGATTTTCCTGCCTCAACCTCCCAAGCACAGGGATTATATGATGTATCATTATGCCTGCCCAGGATTTTTCTTTCCTCTTGTTCACAGGTGTATTACAAGTGTTTATAATAGTGACTGGCCTGATTGTTGGTTGCCCAAATGAATGACTGGCAAGATGTTGGTTGTTGACTGAGTGGCTAGTTGTAAAGAGCATTGTGGACCTTGATAACAAGTGTAGAATCATGTGTCTGGGTAATATGTCGAGTCTGATCTGGAACATGGATTGGGTGGGATAGAAGTTAAGGAGCCACTGGTATGGCTGTATAGTACAAATATGGTGGCAGAGGTCAAAGAACAGATCCACTGGGGCTGGAGAGATGGCTCAGAGGTTAAGAGCACTGGCTGTTCTTCCAGAGGTCTTGAGTTCAATTCCCAGCAACCACAAGGTGATTTACAACCATCTATATTGAGATCTGGTGCCCAGGAATACATGAAGGCAAAAGGGCTGTATACATAATAAATAAAGAACTCTTCCACTGGATTCTGAAAAACTTGAAGTTGCTTTGTCACCCACTTAAGTTGTAACTTTGTGTGAGCTTCTAACTTCTGAGTTGCCATTGTCTTAACACTAAGGCAGAGATAGTAAAAGTACCGGCCCCACAGATCTTGTGAGATCATTTGTTTGCTTTTGGGGGATGGGGGGCCAGTTTCAAGACCGGGTTTCTCTGTGTAGCCCTGGCTATCCTGGAACTCCCTCTGTAGACCAGGCTGGCCTTGAACTCATAGAGATCTGCCTGCCTGTGCTTCCTGAGTGCTGGGATTAAAGGTGTGCTCCCCACCAACTGTCTGTTTGCTTTTGTCAGTCATATACCTGGCCTTGAACTCATAGAGATCTGCCTGCCTGTGCTTCCTGAGTGCTGGGATTAAAGGTGTGCTCCCCACCAACTGTCTGTCTGTTTGCTTTTGTCAGTCATATATACTGGGTTTTCAAGGCTGAGACTACCTTGGGTTGGTTGATCCAAGCTGG